AATAATTTTAAAAGTTATGGCCTCTAGAAGTTGGTTACCCAAAAAAAAAGGAAATTGAAAAATTCCGCCATCGGCATTTTTTTCCGATAACTCTGGAATTTGAAGTGATATAAAAGCAATATCTTTATGACATATTGAGGAGAAATATTTATCTTTCCAAATCCGTTTAATTCATTAAAATAGACCCACTACTTTTAAAGTTATGGCCACTAGATATTGGTTACCAAAAAAAATCGGAAATTGGCAAATTTTGAGTATAAGTGTATTTTTTACCATATCTCTAGAATTTTTTTAGCTACATAATTTTCACTGTTTACAATTTTGAAGAACACATGATTATCTTTCAAAATTGGCTTATTTCTTAAAAATTGATGCATTAGTTCAAAAGTTATGTCTTCTAGAAATTGCTTACCAAAGAAATGCCAACCTTTGAAAATTTAGAGTGCATGTGTAATTTTGCCGATAACTCAGCTATTTGCAGGGGTACATCATTATTATTATACATTATTTTAAAGGATATATTTTTCTCTTTCTATATCCATTTACTTAATTTAAAACGGTCTATTAGTTCTAATCTTATGGCCTCTAGAAATTGATTGCCCAAAAAAACTGGAGAACATTGAAAATTTTAAGTATTGGTGCAATTTTTCCTATAACTCAGAAATTTGTGAAGATACACCCTCGTAACTTTTTGTGATATGAAAGAATGCATATTCCAAATTCGGAATCAATTTATTTCATAACATTTGTTGCATTATTTAAAAAGTTATGGCCTCTAGAAATTGATTACCCAAGAAATGATTACCTTTAACTATTTAAGGTACATGAATAATTTTTCCGATATCTCAGCTATTTGTCAGGGTACATCATTATTATTATACACTATTTTAAAGAGGATACTCCACTCTTTTCAAATCCATTTATATTTTTGGGATTGGTGTATTAATTCCAAACTTATGGCCTCTAGAAAATGATTACCCAAAAAACTGGAGAACATTAAAAATTTTAAGTACAGATGTAATTTTTCCTATAACTCAGAAATTAGTGAAGGTACGCCCTCGTAAATGTTTATGATATGAAAGAATACATAAATTCTACAACAGTTTATTTCATAAACTTTGGTCCATTAGTTAAAATTTTATGACCCTTAGAATTAGATTACCGAAAAAATGGTTGGTATATAAACGTTGAGGTGTGTGGGTATTTTTGGCGATATCTCGAAAATGTGAAAAGTTACAGCACGGTAATCTTTAACATTTTGAAAGATTACCTATTCTATTTTCCAAATATTTTTAGTTCATCTAAAAAGGCCTATTACGACAAAAGTTGTGCCCCATAGAACTTGACTACACAAAAAATGAGGGAAGGTAAAAATATAAGGTGTATGTTTAATAGGTCCGATAACTCGGAAATTTGAGCTGCCACGTTAAGATAACCTTTGACAATTTTAGAGAGCACATTTCTCACTCTCCAAAAAATATATTTTCCAGTAGTATGTTCTAGAAAAAATTGGCATTATGGCGACCACCTTCATCTGACTTTTGGGGGAAAGTCTTATAATTTTGTTTTTCTATTTACTCAAGAAACTAGGACAATATCCTTGGCCATGTTTACACGACGAAGAACAATTTCACCTTGAAAATAAAAAAAAAAACTCAAAGGCAAACTTTTTTATATATAAATAAAAAAACTTGGTTAACAATATTTGTCTAGAATTTCGGTAAACATATTAAAAATGCATAGCTGCCAGCAGAACCTCAAGAATTCTAGAACAAAGGATAATGGAATATTTTCCTTTGGAAATTTTTTATTCAAGGGAAGAAAAGGAAAAAAATTGAAATTTTTTTACAATGTTTTTGTTTTGCTCCCAGTCATTGACCAGGCCCTCTAATATGTGCCTCCAGTAACGTAGACACTCATTTTTTTCTTCTCGTTTCCAATTTATCTTTTTCAAAGAAAAAAAAACAACAAAAATAAATTTTACAGCATTTGTAAATTATACTGCCCTGCCTTTTTGTTTATTTGAGTTTGGAGACCTTCAGAGAAAATAAGACAAAAAAAAAAACAACAATTTTGATATACAGCATTCATGTGATTGGGGGGAAACCGAAATTACCAACTGTGAAAAAATGGTAGCAGGTGTTGTCTAAAAACAAAATCCCATCATAAATTTTTATTAAATATCACATGTGAACGTTTTTTTAGTTTTTCTCATAGAACAAAATAGAACTAATGACAAATTTTAGCAGGGGAAAAAATACACACGGAAAATCATAACACCCACGAGAAGGGGGAAAAGTTTGTCACGTGTGATATTTTTCCCAGGGAAATAAACAAAGTATTCAAAATTTCTTTGGGTAAGCAATTTCTGGAGGCCATAACTTTTAAAGTAATAAATCGATTTGAATGAAATAAAATTATTCTGATAGAGTAATATGTCCGTTCAAAAATTGTAAAAGGTTATCCTAATATAGCTGCACAAATATTCGAGATATCGGCAATAATACACTTATGCTTTCAATTTTCACCTTCAATCATTTTTTGTGCACTCAAGTTCCGTAGGTCATAACTTTTGTCGCAATTGGTATTTATTGTTGAAATAAAAAGATTTTGAAAGTAGAATATAAGCTCTTTAAACTTGTTTAAGATTTTCATGATATAGCTTTTCAAATTTCCGAGATATCGGAAAAAATTACTAATGTCGTCAATTTTTAGTATTCAGGATTTTTTTGGGTAACCCTTTCCCAGAGGCCATAACTTTGAAAATAGTGGGTCTATTTTAATGAAATAAATTGTTTATGAAAGAGAAACATTTGTTCTCGATATTTGTAAAATATCTTACTGCTGTGTCTTAACGAATTTTCAAGATATCGGAAGAAACTTTACGAATGTCGATTTTTTTTTAGTTTTCAATATTTTTGTGTAATCAATTTCTAGAGGTCAAAACTTTGGACGTAATAGATCGATGTTTATGAAGTAAATGGATTTTGAAAGATTGAATTGTGTTCTAAAAACTCCTATACTTTGGTTCCTATGTACCTCACAAAATTTCCGAGTTATGGAGAAAATTACACCACTACTCAAAAATTTGCAAATTTCTGACTTTTTTGTGTAATCGATTTCTAGGGGCCGTAATTTTGAATGTAATGGGTTTATTGTAATGAAATAAACTGAGGTGGATAGGGAAGCACCCCACCTCAAGATTTCTGGAATATATTATTGTTATATCTCGCAAAATTTCAAAGATATCTGAAAATGTTTACGAAAGTCGAAAATTTTCAGTTCCCAATATTTTTGGGTAATCAATTTCTAGAGGCCATAACTTTGGATATAATTTGAATTTTGAAAGATTAGATTGTGTTCTTTAAACTTCTATACATTTGTTCCTAGGTACCTAACAAAATTTCCGAGTTATGGGGAAAATTACACCAACACTCAAAATTTGCCAAATTTCTTACTTTTTTGGGTAATCGATTTCTAGGGGCCATAACTTTGGATGTAATAGGTCCTTTTTAATGAAGTAAATGAATTTTGAAAGCTAAGAATGTATTCTTTAAAATTGTGGAAAACTGTGAAACTTAAATGGGCAAAAATTTGCCAATTTCTTACTTTTTTCGGTAATCGATTTCTAGAGGTCATAACTTTGAATGTAGTGGGTCTATTTTATTGAAATAAGTGGATTTTGAAAGCTAAGAATGTATTTTTTAAAAGTGTAAACGGTGTTACCTATGTAGCTCTTGAAATATCTGAGTTATGGGGAAAATTACAAAACTACTCAAAATTGACCAATTTTTGACGTTTTTGGGCAATCAGGTTCTGGAGGCCATAACTTTGGATGTAGTAGGACTTTTGTAATGAATTTAATGGATTTTGAAAGCTAAGAATATATTCTTCAAAATTGTAGACGGCGATGTCACTGTAGCTGATGAAATTTCCGAGTTATGGGAAAAAATACACAACTACTAAAAAATTGACCAATTTCTGACGTTTTTGGGTAATCCGCTTCTGGGGGCCATAACATCTGACATAATAGGTATATTTTAATAAAATAAAAGGATTTTGAAAGAGAAGCATTTAATCTCAATATCTGTTATTGACAATGTTGCTGTGTCAGATCAAACTACAGAGTTATCGTCAAAAATTTTGCATATATAGAAAAATCTCAATTTTTTTTAAGACAATTTTTTTTTCATTCCATAAAAAATCTATTAAAACAAATTTAAATCCTGTTACTATTTTTTTTTATTTTCAAACCCATGGTCCTATTTTCCATTTGTTTAAATTGAAAACCATTTGAAATTTGTTGTTGTTGTCCCTCAGGGAAAACATGTTGTTGGAGTTTACCAGAACCAGCTACCGTATTTAAATATTCATTTTGAAATAACCATTTCCAAACCCCGTACCTCACCTCCTATTTGGTTTTTTCTTTGAAAAAATTACTTATCAATTTTCTTCGCTGCTATTTTATTGTTGTTGTTGTATTTTATTTCCTCTCTACAAGCATTGAGCGAACAGGCAACAGCAGCTCACAAAGGTTAAAACAATTACCTACGCCATTAGAAAACGTAGACCAGCTATTTGAATTACATGGCAGTTTTTTTTTGCCAGTTTGTGATTATCAGTTTGAAAATAAACAAATTGCAAAACTGTTCGATTTTTCGTGAAATTTTCACTTTGAATTAGACGGCTATTATTTTGAATTTTTTCTAAAACGAATAAAAACTTGTCATGTCAATTTTTGAATATTTCGATGTGAGATTTTAGTCGTTTAGGTTGTGGAATGATGATGACGATGTTGTGAATTGTCGGGTAATTAAACAGCAATTTTGTTTGGGGTTCCATTAAAAAGTAATTAAAATTCTACAAAAATAACAACTCGATTTGAAAACAGTTAGTTAACTGGTCACATCAAGAACCTGCACGCAACTTTGTTGTATTTATAAGAAAATTTAATTTTTGTCCAAATTTTCTAATTTTTTTCCTCTTGTTTTTGTTTTCAGATCTCTCAAACATAGTTCCACCTCATTGGCCCCCCTACAATCGGTGCCATCATCCGCCAGCCTGCGCAGCATCAGCCCTTCACGCCGTAGTGCCAGTAGCAACAGCAGCAGCACGGCCAAACATGAGCAATCACCGGCGGCGCCGCCGGCCGGTACTGTGGCGGCTAGCAGCAGCAGCTCTGCAGCGGCGCAAAATATTACACCACCGGAAAAGGAGAAGAAACGCAAAGAGGTATCCAGTTCAAGGGTAAAAAAGTTCCAAAGGCATTTCTCGCAGGTGTCGCAAGATGAGAAATTGATTAACTGTAAGTTTTTCAAAAAATTCAAATTTTTTCAAAAGCTTTCAATTTAAAAAAAATTTTTTTTAATTTCAAAATTTTTATAAAAAAATATTTTTCCTGTTAGAAATTTTTTTTTCATCAAAATCCACCAACTATTTCAGAAGTTATGAACTCTGAAACAGTATTGGGCAAAAAATCCTACACTGGAAAATGTTCACCATTTTGATATTTTATTAAATATCTTGGAAATTTTAGGAGCTATGTGAACACACCTTATTAAGGATGTGTAGCGCACACATTCTACTGTCGAAAAGAACTTCAGAAGTTATGGGCTCCGGAACATGATTGCACAAAAAATTTCCACAACACAAAATTTTCAGCATTCTTGCAATTTTTCGCATAGCTTGGAGATTTTGGGAGATATGTGAACACACATAATGAAAGATATGTAGCACAAACATTCTTCTATCAAAATAATTTTATTTCATCCAAATCCAACAACAACTTCAAATGTTATGGGCTTCGGAACATGATTGCGCAAAAAATTACCATAATAGGAAAATTTCAGCACTCTGGTATTTTTTCTCATAACATGAAGATTTTGGGGAATATTTGGACACACCTAATGAAACTTATCTAGCAGACAAATTCATCTAGCAAAATAATTTTATTTCATCAAAATCCATTAACTATTTCAGAAGTTATGGCCTCTGGAACCGGGTTGCTCAAAAAATTGGAAAAACCGTAATTTTTTAGTGTTTTTGTATCTTTTTTCTAATATCTAGGAAAGTTTAGGAGATATGTGAACCCACCTAATGAAAATTGTGTAACACAAATATTCTTCTATCAGAATTATTTCATTTCATCCAAATCCACCAACAACTTTAAATGTTATGGGCTCCGGAACATGATTGCTCAAAAAATTACCAAAATAGGAAATTTTCAGCATTGTGGTTATTTTTCCCATAGCTTGAAGGTTTTGGGAGATATGTGAACACACCTAATGAAAGTTGTGTAACACAAATATTCTTCTATCAGAATAATTTTATTTCATCTAAATCCACCAACAACTTTAAATATTATGGGCTCCGGAACAAGATCACGCAAAAAATTACCAAAATAGGAAATTTTCAACATTGTGGTTATTTTTCCCATAACTTGAAGATTTTGGGAGATATGTGAACACACCTAATGGAAGTTGTGTAGCACACATATTATTCTATCAGAATAATATTATTTCATCCAAATCCACCAACAACATCAAATGTTATGGGCTCCAGAACGTGATCGCTCAAAAATTCCCAAAATAGGAAATGTTCAGCATTGTGTTTATTTTTCTCATAACTTGAAGATTTTGGGAGATATGTGAACACACCTAATGAAAGTTATCTAGCAGACATATTCATCTAGCAAAATAATTTTATTTCATCAAAATCCATGAACTATTTCAGAAGTTACGGCCTCTGGAACCGGGTTGCTCAAAAAATTTCAAAAACCGCAAATTTTTAGTATTTCTGTTTTTTGTATTTCAATATCTAGGAAAGTTTAGGAGATATGTGAACCCACCTAATGAAAATTGTGTAACACAAATATTCTTATATCAGAATTATTTCATTTCATCCAAATCCACCAACAACATCAAATGTTATGGGCTCCGAAACATGATCACGCAAAAATTTCCAAAATAGAAAATGTTCAGCATTGTGGTTATTTTTCCCATAGTTTGGAGATTTTGGGTGACATGTGAACACACCTAATGGAAGTTATGTAGCACACATATTCTTCTATCAGAATAATTTTATTTCATCAGAATCTACCAACAACTTTAAATGTTATGGGCTCCGGAACATGATCTCTCAAAAAAAACTACCAAAATAGGAAATTTTGTGTACTCTGGTATTTTCGCTCATAGCTTGGAGATTTTGGGAGATATGTGAACACACCTAATGAAAATTATATAGCACACATACTCTTCTATCAAAAAAAAATTATTTTATCGAAATCTAGGAATAACTTTAGGAGTTATGAGCTCCGGAACATGATTACGCAAAAAATTACTAAAATTGGAAATTTTGTGTACTCTGGTATTTTTTCTCATAACTTGGAGATTTTGGGAGATGTGTGAACACACCTAATGGAAGTTATGTAGCACACATATTCTTCTATCCAAAATTATTTTATTTCATTACAATTTACGATAATCTCTAGGAGTTATGGCCTCCAGAACATGATTACGCAAAAAATTCCAAAATAGGACATTTTCGGCATTCTGGTATTTTTCTTAAACATTTTAGAAGATATGTGAACACACCTAATGAATGTTATGCTGCACACACATTCTGCTATCAAAATAATCTAATTTCATCAAAATCCAATTACTTGTTCAGAAGTTATGGTCTCTAGAACATGATTACGCAAAAAATTACTAAAATAGGAAATTTTCTTAGCACTCTGGTATTTTTCTCATAGCTTGGAAATTTTGGGAGATATGTGAACACACCTAATGAATTTTATATAGCCCACACATTCTTCTTTCCAAATTAATTTTATTTCATCAAAATCTGCGAACAACTATAGGAGTTAGGGCCTCTAGAACAGGGTTGCCCAGAAAATTTTCAAAATGCAAAAATTTCGGCATTTTGGTATTTTTCAAATATCTTAAAAATTTTTGAAGATATGTGAACACACCTAATGAAAATTATGTAGCACACATATTCTTCTATCAGAATAATTTTATTTCACTGACATCTACGGGCAACTTCAGAAGTTATGGCCTCCGGAACATGATAGCGCAAAAAAAATTCCAAATCCGAAAATTTCCGCATTTTTGTATTTTTGGAATATTTTGTAAATTTTAGGTGATATGTGAACACCCCTAATGAAAATTATGTAGCGCACACATTCTTCTATACAAAATAATTTTATTTTACCAAAATCGACTAGCATCTTCCGAAGTTATGGCCTCCGGAACGTGATTACGCAAAAATGTCTAAAATAGGAAATTTTCAGAATTCAGGTATTTTTTCAATATCTTGAAAATTTTAGGAGATATGTGAACACACCTAATGAATATTATGTGGCACACACAATCTTCTATCCATATAATTTTATTTCATCAAAATCTACCAACAAATTTAGGAGTTAGGGCTTCCGTAATAGGGTGGCCCAAAAAATTTACAAAAGCTTTAAAATTTTTTGAAATTATTTTTTTTTTTCAAACTTTTTTATAAAAAAAATTATTTTTTCTACTTCCATTTTTAGATTTTTCCTGTGCTTTAGTCAGTGATATTTTGCTGCAAGGACATCTTTATATAACAGATCAACATTTTGCATTTTATTCAAATGTTTTTGGTTATGTTACTAAGGTGAGCTTTTTTTCTGAATTTTAAAAACTTTTTTCATTTTAAATTAAATTAAAATTATTTTTATAACATAACCTCCCTTCTCTTCCACCCCCTTCCAGGTTGTTATACCCACATCCTCGGTTACGAAAATCTCCAAAGAGAAAACGGCAAAAATCATACCCAACGCCGTCGGTGTGGCCACCGCCGATGAACGTCACGTTTTCGGCAGCTTCATTAGCCGCGAAGCCGCATTCCGCTTGATGTGCAGCGTTTGCCCACCGCTGGGCGGCACCGTTGAAATCCTACCCAAAGATCCTGCAAGCATTGAAATTTCCGAAGAATACTCAGTCGAGGATGATAGCAGCTGTTCGATCAGCGGCAATGAAAGTCCCGCTCAGGCAACCGATAATGCCAATTCCACACATGAAACCAACGCGAATGAACCTAGTCAAATGATATTACGACGCACAGTGGGTGCATCGACGCTTAGCATTGCCGATTGTCCACCGGGTGGTGACAAACAACGGCACTCTGACATTCCGTTAAATGCCAAAAATTCCGCAACTTCCTTACACCAAAACCTCCGTTCCTCGGCTCCGGCTGGTTCACAGGCCTATGCCAATGGTGGTTCGGGTGGTATTGGTCATGTCATTGCCTCCTCCATAAGTGGGCCGGCCACAGCAATTGGATGTGCCGGCCTAGACAGTAGTAATCTCACATTTATTGCTGGCAATACCTCAACGACGACGTCGGCCACCAGTACACCAACGCCGTCAACATCATCGCCCACCACCGTTATGGCAATGCCGCATACCAAGGCCTATCAGGTCGTAAATAAGTTTCGACAATTGGGCCAGAAGCTCATGGTCAATGTGAAATTTCCCACTGAGGTCCATGTGGTCTATTTGGGTGCCATGCTCACCGTTTTATTGGCTGTATTTACGATATTCCTATTGTATCGGATATTAGATATTGAAGCGAAAACGAATGTTTATCGATCTCCTATAGAATTTAATTGGGTAGGTTCTCAAGACCTTAATGCCTTTTAGAAAATTTTAAATATTTTATTTAATTTCTTATTTACAGCGTTCCGGCAACGATGATGACATATTTGCCGAAGCTTTACGTTTCCAAAAACAATTGCAAGTTAAAAGCACTGAAGAAGCTCAGAATATACTTAAAACGAATTTAGAACAAATCGCTAAGGTAGGTACAAAGACAAAATAGTTCTCTATCAAAATAATTTTATTTCACCAAAATCCTCGAACTACCTTAGAAGTTATGGCCTCTAGAACATGGTATCCCAAAAAAAATCCCAAAACGAAAAATTTTCCGCAGCTTAATATTTTTCCGATATCTTGATAATTTGAGGAGCTATGTGAACACACCTAATGAATGTTATGTAGCACACACATTTTTCTAACAAAATAATTTCGTTTCACAAAAATCTGCGAACTACATCCGAAGTTATGTACCCTAGAAAATGATTGCGCAAAAAATTTCCAAAACAAGAAATTTCCCGCATTTTTGTATTTTTCAAATATCTTGAAAATGTTTGGAGATATGTGAACACACCTAATGAAATTTGTGTAGATAACAAATTCTTCTATCACTATAATTTTACTTGACAAGAGTTATGGCCCCTAGAACATGATTAGGCAAAAAATTCCCAAAATCGGAAAATTTTCGCAATTTGGTATTTTCTTAATAACTTAGAAATTTTAGGAGATATGTGAACACACCTAATAAAAATTTTGCAGAACACACATTCGTCTATCAACATAATTTTATTTCCTCAAAATCTATGAACAACTTCAGAAGTTATGGCCTCTGGAACATGATTACACAATAATTTCATATATTCCGAAAATTTCCGCATTTTTGCGGAAACATTTTCAAATATTTTGAAAATGTTTGGAGATATGTGAACACACCTAATGAAAATTATGATGAATACATGTTTTTCTTTCAAAATAATTTTATTTCACCCAAATCTACGAACTAATTCCGAAGTTATGGCCCCCAAAATATGATTGCGCAAAAATTTTTAAAATCAGGAAATTTCCAGGTTTTAAGATTTTTGTTCAAAATTTTGAAAATTTTGGGAGCTATGTGAACACTCCTAATGAATGTTATGTAGAACAGATATTCTTCTGTCAAATTTGATTTATTTTACCAAGATCTATAAACAAATTCAGAAGTTATGGCCTCCAGAACATGATTACACAAAAATTTCCTAAAAACCGAAATTTTCCGCATTTTTGTATTTTGTTCAATATCTTGAAAAATTTTGGAGATATGTGAACGCGCCTCATAAAAATTATGTAGCACACACCTTCTTCTATCACTATAATTTTATTTCATCAAAATCTACAAACTACCACAGATGTTATGACCTCTGGAACATGATTACACAAAAATTTCCTAAAAACCGAAGTTTTCCGCATTTTTGTATTTTGTTCAATATCTTGAAAATTTTTGGAGATATGTGAACACGCCTAATAAAAATTATTTAGCACACACCTTCTTCTATCATTATAATTTTATTTCATCAAAATCTACAAACTACCACAGATGTTATGACCTCTGGAACATGATTACGCAAAAATTTGCCAAAATCCGAAATTTTCCGCATTTTGATATTTTTCAAATATCTTGGAAATTTTAGGTGACATGTGAACACACCTAATGAATGCTGTGTAGAACACCTATTCCTCTATGATAATAATTTTATTTCATCAAAATATATTAACAACTTCAGAAGTTATGGCCTCCAGAACATGGTAACGCAAAAATGCCCATAATCGGAAATTTTCCGAATTTTGGCATTTTGTACAATATCTTGAAATTTTTAGGAGATATGTGAACACACCTAATGAATGTTATGTGGCAAACTTATTCTTCTAACAACAAAATTTTGTTGTACTTAAATATACGAACTAGATCAGAAGTTATGGCCTCCGGAACATGATTGCACAAAAAATATTGACAGTCGGAAAAATTCCCATCTTGTATATTTTTGAAGATATCTCGGGTATTTTGAGAGATACATCCGGTCAACAAATAACCCATATGTAGATGGCGTGCTCCTTTATAAAAGTAGATTTGTTTTACCAAGATCCACAAAGTACTTTAGAAATTATACACAACGTATTATACATACTCCCGAAAATTGCTAAGTTCCGTTTTTTTTGCGTATGCAACTTCTAGAGGTCATAACTTTGAAAATAATGGGTAGATTTAAATGAAATAAACGGATTTTGAAAGAAGGACATCTGTCCTCAATATTTGCAAAAGATGTCGTTGCTGTATCTGATGAAATTCATGAGTTATGTGGAAAAGTATCCGACTACTCAAAATAAGTCAATTTCTGACATTTTTGGGTAATCAACTTCTTGAGGTCATAACTTTAAAAGTAATGGATGTATTTTAATGAAATTGGCGGATTTTTAACGAATGGCATGTGTCCTCAATATTTGTTCAAGATGTCGCTTGTGTTTCGGAACAAATTTTTGAGATATCGGAAAAATTTTGCAAATGACCAAATTTTTCAATTTTACGAATTTTTTGGGTTATCTATTTCCAGAGGCTATAACATTGAATGTAGCAGGTCAATTGGGGTGAAATAAAATGTTTTAGAAAGAGGAAGATCACTTTTCCAAATTTTTGAGCAGATAAAAAGATGTTGCCTCCAAAATTTCTGAAATATACGAAAAATTAGGCGATTACTCAAAGTATGCCAACATCCACTGCTTTTGGGTAATCGATTTCTAGAAACCATATCTCTGAAAGTATTGAAGATATTTTCATGAAAAAAATTATTTGGATAGATAAGAATATGCTTTTTAAAATTATGGGCCGATATAAGTAGGTAGCTTAAAATATTTCCGAGATATGCGAAAAATAAGTCAACTTCTTCAAATTTGTCAACTTCCGCAATTTTTTGGTAATCGGTATCTAGAGGGCATAACATTGGATGTAGTGGATCAAATTTCATGAAGTAACCAAATTTGGAAAGAGAAATGTTTGTCCTCAATATGTGCTACAGGTGTCGCTGTTGTATCGCAACAAATTTTTGAGTTATGGGCAAAACTTTACGAAAATTTTAGTTTTTTGTTTGGCAATATTTTGTTTTTAAGTAATCCATTTCAAGGAGTCATAACTTGTGATGTAATGGGTTGATTTTCATGAAATAAACGGTTTTGAAAAAAGAAAAAGTTGTTCTCAATATTTGCAATAGATGTCGTTGTTGTATGGCAACAATTTTTAGAGTTATGGGAAAAATTTGTCAATTACTGAAATTTGGTTAATTTCGACAATTTTTTAGTAATCGGTATCTAGCAGCCATAACTTTGAAAGTAGTGGGTTAATTATCATGAAATAAACGGATTTGAAAAGAGAAGTGTTTGTCCTCAATATGTGCTATAGATGTCGTTGTTGTATCGTAACAATTTTTTGAGTTATCAGCAAAACTTTACGGAAATTTTAGATTTTTGGTTGTCAACATTTTGTTTTTTAGTAATCGATTTCGAGGGGTCATAACTTGGGATGTAATGGGTGGATTTTCAGGAAATAAACGGTTTTGGAAAGAGAAAAGATTGTTCTCAATATTTCCAATAGATGTCGTTGTTGTAGGGCAACGATTTTTTGAGTTATGGGCAAAATAATAGGGTGCTGATTTTTAATTTAATTTTTTGGGCCAATGTTTATAACTTTGATTTTTAATTCTATAAATAGTTTTTTCTTTGTGTTTATTTTGGTTTTAGCTTATATCTGTCATCACAGTGTCAGTTTCTGACATTTCTGTAAACCTTTTGCGATTATTTTGTCTAAAGCCTTTTGAGATTTATATTCAAGCTTATTGATAACTATATATATTTTTCTTTATAATGTGTTTTATTTTTTATTATTGTTGTGGCAATAACAACAATAAATATATCATTTTTATTATTTATTTATATATTTCATATCTTGACATGTTTGTCGAGCTTGTGTTCGGGTGATAATGGAGGCAATCATAAAAAAATCGTCTATCGATAATTGTTATCAATATGGAGGTATTTTTTTTAATTATTTTTTGTATCTGTGTTACCTTAGGTCATCGTAGGTCTTTTTTAGGGAGGTGTGTAGATTTTTGAGCCATGAAATAAAAAAAAATCGGTAAGCATTTTTGGAAATTTTCTCCCGAATTTTTTCCCCAAATTTCCTTTGGAATTTTTCCCCGATAAACAAAATCCCAAATTGTCTGCCGGATTATTATTCATTTAAATGTGATTGATCAGGCAATTGTAGTCATTATAATTTTTTTTATATCACATGTATTTTTATTGAGGATCGAGATAAGAATTATCGACCACCTGCAAATCATATGATTTGTGGGTCAAATGATAAAATTTTGCGAGAAAAAAAATTCGAATGAATCATTTTTTTTTGGAATTCGGCAAAATTTTTGACTCGTGTCCCATAGGGTTTCCCAACAACTATGAATCATGATTTCTCACATTTATTTCCGAATGATTGATCGTTTTCCTGATAATAATTTTTATGTTTTTTCTTCTTCTTCATTCCAGGTACGCCGCAGTTTAGAAACCTTATCGATGTTAATCCATGACCGTAGCTCATCGTTTGGTTCCACAAATACCGATGATAGTGACTGAATTTATTAATTAATAATATATCATTATTTTATATATTTTGTAATTTATAATTGCATATAGAATTATTATTATTGTAATTAAAAATAATATAATTATTATAATTTTAAAAAAATATTATTTTTTATTTTGTTAATTTTTTTTTTTTGCGAAAAAAATTCAAAAAAACATTTTCCTAGTAAATTATTTTAGCTTAGCCAAGATGAAAACACTTTAGAGTTATATAAGAAAAATTATATGCTTAAGAAAATTGTAATTGTATTTATTAATATTATTATTGTAATAATAAGCTAAATTTTATAAAATTTTATTATTTTTTATAAATATTATTATTATTAAAAAAAATATTCCATTACTTAAAAAAATATAAAGAAAAGAAAAATTTAAAAAGAATTATTTTGTGGGTTATTATTGAAATTACGAGGAAGAAAAAAAACAACAACACTACTGGCCACCCATGGAAAAATAAAAGAAAAAAATTGGTTTGAAATTTTTTTAAAAAAAAATATTTTTTTAATTTTTTTAATTTTTTTTTTAATAAAAAATTTTTTTGTTAAAATTTTTTTTGGTCATACAAGGAAAAATAAAAAAAAATTGGTTTGAAAATTTTTATAAAAAAATATTTTTTTTGAAAATATTTATTAATGAAATTGAGAAAAACAAGAACACTATTGGTCACCCATAGAAAATATTTATTAATGAAATGGGGAAAAACAACAAAACTATTGGTCACCCATTGAAAAATAAAAAATGGTTTGAAAATTTTTATAAAAAAAATATTTTTTTTAATTTTATATAATTTTTGAAAATTTTTTTAATAAATTTTTTTTTTTGTTAAAATTTTTTTGGTCACCCATAGAAAAATAAAAAAAATCATTTTGAACATTTTTATTAAAAAAAAATATTTTTTTAATTTTTTATTTATTTCTTTTTATAACAATTTTTTTTAATAAAAATTTTTTTGTTAATATTTTTTATGTCCACCCATTGAAAAATAAAAAAAAATTGGTTTGAAAATTTTTATAAAAAAAATTTATATTTTTTAAATTTTTTATAATTTTTTTATTTTTTTTTAAATAAAAAAAATTTTATTAATTTTTTTGGTCACCCATAGAAAAATTAAAAAAAAAATGGTTTGCAAATTTTTATAAAAAAAATATTTTTTTTTTTAAATTTTTCATATTTTTTTTAATTTTTTTTTAATAAAAAATTTTTTGTTAATTTTTTTTTTTGGTCACCCATAAAAAAAAAAATTGGCTTAAAAAATTTTATAAAAAAATTATTTTTTATGTTTTTTTTAATAAAAAATTTATTGTTATTTTTTTTAAATAATTTATTTTAATAAATTTTTTTTTGTTCACCCATAGAAAAATGGCTTAACAATTTTTATAAGATAAATTATTTTTTTTTTTAATTTTTTATATTTTTTTAATTTTTTTTTTTTTTTTTTTTTGGAAATTTTTGTTAATTCTTTTTTTAATAAACAACTTTTTTGTTAACATTTTTTTTGGCCAGCCATAAAAAAGTACTAAAAATTGGTTCGAAATTTTTTTTAAAAGAATATTTAAAAAAAATTTTTGAATATATTTTTTATAAAAAAAAAATTATTAAAAAAATTCAAAAAAAATATAAAAAATTAAAAAAAAATTAATTTATTTTATAAACATTTTTAAGCCAATTTTTTATTTGTGTATTTTTTTGTTCAGCCATAAAAAAGTACAAAAAATTGGTTCGATAATTTTAATAAAAGAATATTTAAAATTTTTTTTTTTTTTTTTTTTTTTGATATATTTTTATAAAAAAAAAATCAAAAAAAAAGTTTTATTAAAAAAATAATTCAAAAAAATGTATGAAAAATTAAAAACAATTAATTTATTTTATAAAAATTTTTAAGCCAATTTTTTGTTTTTCTATGGGTGACCAAAAAATTTTTTTTATTAAAATAAAATATTAAAAAAAAAAAATTAAATTAAAAAAATTGTGAAATTTGAAAAAAAAATCGTATCCTCTTGTGTAGAAAATAAAATCTGCTTTCACAAAAAACATGTTCATACCAAAGGTATTTAAATGTTATATACTGATATTTTTTATTTAAATACGGGTATATTTTTAGAAATTATAAATTAAATTAAAAAAAACTTTTAAATTTTTTTCAAATTTTAATTTATAAAAAAAAAAATTAATTTAATTTTTTTCAATTAGTGAAATGGAAATATGTATGGTTTCTTTCGAAGCTTTACAATAGATGGCGTCAGCTGTTCAATATGAGGCACACTAGTGAAGGGTCCTATATTTTTTTTTAATTAATAAATATATTAAAAAATATATATTAATAAATTCCACATTTTATTATTTTAAATATGTTTTTTTCTGAATTTTTTAATGCATTTGTACATTTAAAATTTTTAAAAAAATTTTGCATTTTTTTTTTTTAATTGTGTATAATAAAAAAAATTACGAATTTTTCTGTTTTCTGTAAGGAAATATGTGATATAATATAAATATTATATATAATATTAAAGAAATAAAAATATAATATTATAGAAGAAAATAAAATAAAAATAAATAAATATTAATTATAATATATTATTACATATATTTTATATATGTTTTATTTTTTATTTTAATTAAAATACTATTTGTGACCTTTCAAATAGTGGTACAAAAAATAATAAAAATTATTTTAATGAATTTTTAATATTTTTATTTGTTTTTTTTTTCTTTATAAAAATAAAAATAATTTTTCAAAAAAAAGGAAATTTATTTTACCTTCTTAATTATTTTTTTATAAAAAATATAATTGTTTTAAACTTGCCCAAAAAAATTATTTGAAAATATTAACTGGAATATTTTCTTGAAATTAAAAAAAAAAATTGAAAAGATTTTTAAAAATTTTTTGAATCTGTGTAATTTTTTATACAGTTTAACAGAATTTTTCTTATAAAATATTTTGGAAATTTTCGAAAATTCAAAATTATTTCGCATTACAAAAAAAAAATTATACCAGAATTTTTATGACATTTTATTTTTTTAAAAATGTGAAGAAACAAATTTAAGTGGATTTTTTTTATAAAATATTAAGAATTTTCAAAAAAAAAAAAATTTAAAAAATTTACTTTTCTAATTTTTTTCAATTCAATACTATTTGCTAAATTTTTTTATAAAATATTTAAAAAAAAATTATTCAAAATTATTATTCTGAAAAATATATGATAATTTATTAAATATTTTAAGAAATGTCTATAGAAAATTTAAATAGATTTTCTAAAAAAATTAATTCTAATTTTTTTTTTCAATTTAAAAAAAATCTATTCTATATAATATTTTATAAAGTTAAATACAAAATTCTATATAAATTTTTTGAAAATGAAAAATATTTTTCTGAAGGAAAAAATATATGAAGTCTTTAGATATTTTAATAAAATTTCAAGAAAAAATTTTAATAGATCTTTTTACAAAAAATTTTTTAAAAAAATATTAAAAATTTAAAAAAATAATTATTTGAAATATTGAAATGAATTTCAATAGATTTTTTTTTTTGTAAAATTTTAAGAATTTTCAAAAAAAAAGAATTATTTAATTTTTTCAGTTTTTTTTTCAATTTAATTAATTATGGAATTTTCAATTCCATTTTTTATTTTTACACAATTTAATAAAAAAATTCTTAAAAAATACTTTAGAAATCTTCTAAAATTCTTTAGATATTTCAATACAATTAAAAAAAATTAAATAGATTTTTCGGAAAAAATTTTATAACTTTTCAAAAAAAAAAAATTATTATTCTGATTTTTTATTTAATTTTCTAATTATACCCTTCACCACACGGTGGTACAGGGTATTATGTCTTTGTGAATATGTTTGTAACAGGCAAAAGGAAACGAGATAGGCACATAGTTCCTTTTGAGAATATGCATCGAATCACTTTCTGAGTCGATTTATGCATGTCCGTCAGTCCGCCCGCCCGTCTGTAGATATTAAATTGTAAACAAAGTATAGGTCGCATTTATGATCCGATTTGGATGAAATTTGGAATTTGGATTTGGAAAGCTCCCATACATAGCTCCCATATATATTTTCGTCCGATTTAAGGTAAACGGGGCACCAAAGTCCCTATATATCTTTCGATTTGCACGAAATTTGGCATAGCCTACTGAATTAAGTCTAGAATGACTTGTGCCAAGTTTCGTGAAAATCGGTTCATTTTTAGATATAGCTCCCATATATATTTCCATCCGATCTAAGGTAAATGGTGCAGCAAAATCCTTATATGTCCTTCGATTTGCACGAAATTTGGCATAGCCTACTGAATTAGGTCCAGAATGACGTGTGCCAAGTTTCGAGAAAATCGGTTCAGATTTAGATATAGCTGCCATATATAGTTTCGTCCGATCTAAGGTATCCCTATATATCTTTCGAAATTTATCATATGGTACTGATTTAGTTCCAGAATTTTTTATATCAGCATTTTATATTTGATTATTTCAAATTTTTATTAAAAAAAATTGAGAATTTTATTAATATTTTTTATATTTGAAATGACCTGACTTTTCTTATAAGGATAACTAAAAACTCTTAACTCGTAATTCCATTTCACCACATTTTTTTTTTTTAAATTGTCTTTTTTTAAAAAAATTCTCCCTATTCTAAATTTGGTACGAACTGAAAATATGAAGCATTTTATTCACACAATTTTGAAATGAAAAAAATTTAATTTAAAAAATTTTTTTTTTCCAAAATTTTTTTTTTTTTTTTTTGTCCAAAAAATATTTTTTTTTCCAAAAAATATTTTCTTTTTCCAAAAAATATTTTCTTTTTCCAAAAAATATTTTTTTTTCCAAAAAATATTTTTTTTCCAAAAAATATTTTTTTTTTTAATTGAAAAAAAAAGATTGGATGTGTGTGCCAAATTTTAAGTAAGGAAAAAAACTTAGATTGGCAAATGTTTTGGATTCGATTATGAAAAGCAAAAAAAAAAAAATAAAACAACAACAAAAAGCCAGAGAGATGACAAACAACCCATAAACGTA